AATCGAAAATCTTATCGATGGCTGAAGAGAAATGTGATTAGAGAGTAGCAGGATACACAATATCTAGGAACGAAAGGCTACGCTCTGTTAAATAAAATATGTTATCGATAACACATGCACATATATGACTTCATTATTTCTGATAAAGAGTTTATATATATATTCCATCTATTCATAGCTCATATTCCTTTTTTTTTCACTTTCCATTGCACTTCCAATGGTCATTGTTATTTGGGGCATTTCTTGTTAATGTGAGATTGGAGTCTAACGGTAAGTGAGCTGCATAACATTTACCAACACTGGGCTCATTGAAACATTCACTTTTTCAACACATCGATGATATCTTTATTATTATGATTATTATGACTATGATAATGCGTATATATGTATTTTGACTATGGCTATTATAATATGCAGATGTTGCTGTTGTTGTTGTCGTTTCATAATCTCTCTCGTCTCTTTTATATCATTTTTCTTTTTTTTACCGCTCTCTGTGATGTTACGAAAATGATTTCATTGTCAGAACCGAGCAAAACTTTGATTTGATTTAGGTTTTTTTCTTCTTCTTCTTCTTTCTTGCAGAGTGAAATTTATGAGGCATATAAATCTTGAACATCTTAATAGCTCCATTGTCTCTGGTCAAAGCCAAGACGAATAGTTCCATTTCTGAATGGTTTTCGGAAAAAGTTACCGGAGGAACAACAGTTCATCAAATCGGAAATACACAGCATAGCGAAACCTTAATTGATTGCCGATTTATACATAGCTATACATATAGATGGATGGATGGGTGCATAGCTCTAGCTTTACATGTATCTATGTATAACAGTTTATTTAATTACAGTACTTTTTTTGGATCTATTACATTAATATCATCTGTCTCTGTCTTTGTCAGTTTATGTCCCTTTCTTCCTGTCCCTTTGAATCTTTTTCTCCCTCCTTGTCGCTCTCCCTCTCAATCTCTCTGTCCCTATACTTCTCTAGGTTACACACTCTGTATGAATCTCTGTCTCTCTCTACTTCACGCTTTTTCTTTCTCTCTCTCCCTCCACTCCCTCTCTCTCACCTCACTCACTTAGGCTGTGCACGCATCTCTAATGTCTCTAATGTCTTGGGGTCAAGTGTCATTGTACCCAGGCATTGACCTCCATCTTCTACCAGCTGGTCCTCATTATATACATATGTACACCCGTCTCGCTCTCCATCCCACCGCTCGCTTCTCTCTACCTTGCGCCATAGTCAACGCAGCTCGACGATCGCCAGCGACAAGTTTCGTCTTTGGCGCATATTTGTTTGTTTGTTTGTTTGCAATTTTCATTTGCCTCGGTTTGTTATTGACTCCCCCTTCTCCAGCCCCTCTCCCTCACCCTCCCTCTCGCTCTGGGACCCTCGTTTGGCTACCTACTCCAGACGTAATTACAGCCGCGTTCTTTGCTCTGTTACGCCTTTGGCTCTTAGTTGATTTTTTTTTTGTGCTTTGGGCACGATTTGGATTTGGGCTTTAACTTTGGCTTTGATTACAACCGCTGCCATCTTCACATAGTTGTGTGTGTGTGTGTGTGTGTGTGTAGAGGCCTGGGCAGCCTAAAGAGTATATCTCGCCTGCGGCCCTCCCTCCTCCTTCAGCCTAAGTTATTGTCTTTATAATGATTTTGCATTTCTTTATTTATTTGTCTTCTTCTTTAATATTCAATTTGAAATGTTTTTGTGTATTTCTATAATTACTTTAATGTTCGCTCATCGAAGCTTAGGAGATTGAGCTTTGCATCTGCATATAGTATCCGCATTAAGCCAACTGCATCCAGCATCCCACTGCTTGACCGGTTTTTGGTTTTTCGTTATTTTTTTTTTTTTTTTGGCCATTTTTACTTTCAATTTGCCAGCGAAAACCGCCACAAAAAACAAGAAAATTCACTTTGACTTTGGCTCCAACAAGAAATAAGAGAAAAAACTAAATTTGTCGCCGTCTGAAAGCGAAATTTTTAACAATAAAAAAGGTATAAAAAATAATGAGATTAAAACAAATTCTAAACAGGTTTTTGATGAAATGCAAAATGCGTATGGAATTAGTTCCTTAAACGGGGGACTAAGAAACGCAATATGAAGTAATACTTGAGGGCAATAATTCAGATACGATTGTAGAACTGAACAGCGTACATATTCTTTGGCAATATATCTGATTACATATAGTTGCTTTAAATGCTCCAGAGCAGAACAGACCCAATTGGGTCTAGATGCTTTAGTGGGACTTAACTTGGGACTTAACTATTCAATGTATTTCATTGAATACCAAGTCTATTTCACTTGAAGAGAATAGAGCTCTGCGACTTATATGATGCATCATATAAATATATGTACATATGTTCAATTGAAGATTCTATCGATTTTCGGGGTTTTTATTTATGTTTTAGGATTTTCATTTCATTTGATTTTTCTACTAATTTTTCGCCTTTCCATGCTCTACCTTTAGTCCTTCACTTCTCTGTTAATTTCAAATTCTTTTAGCCCAATCTGGCAGCACTGTCAGCACGGTTCCATAATTTGTCCGAGTGCGCCTAATATGGCACTTAGCCTCATATTGCGACTCGTGACAATTTGACTCAAATGATGTCTCTCGCCCTGTCTCAATCTCCCCTTCCCTCTCTCTCTCTCACTCTCTCTCTCTCTCTCTCTCTTGCTCTTGTAATTCTTGTTGGCTTTTTCGTTTAGCTTCGTTTATTTGGGTCACGGACAGTCATCTTCTGTCAATAGCAGCGATCCCCTCTCCCTCTCTCTATCTCTTCCACTTGTTCCCTCGGCACTGCTTCCCGCTTCATTCGCCTTACAGGTTTTTCGACTTTTACTTGCAACTACAGCAAGGCTAAATGCAACATTTGGTTGTGTTTTTGGTTCCGTCTCGATCTTGGCAACAAAATTTGTTGCAGGCGCAGGCAATTTATGTTGCGGCTCGCGTTGTTGCTGTTGCTGTTGTTGTTGTTGTTGACTTTGGTCTGCGCGTTAAATGAGTTGTAAAAACAGCTGTTGATTTATTGTGGCTGTCGGCTGTGGTTGCCGCTTGTCACATTTGGGTCGCTTCTTGGTTCGTTTATCGAACTAGACACATTTGGCTATGGAGATCTTAATGTGCTCATCTCTGGCATATGCCAGCAACAACAATAACAACACCAGCAGCAGCAGAAACAGCAASAAACAATAGAAGTTTTCGTGAAAAGAAATTTCATTACAAGCGGCGAAATGTTGCCATGACTTTGACTTTTGCAGCCGCACACAAACAAAAGCAGACGAAAGAAGCTACGAAAAATGCTTATAAACAATGCCATGCCATGTTTCATGGAAAGCCAGCAACAAGACGCAAAGCAAATTGTTGCCGCAATTAAACAGAACAGCAGAAGAGAGTCCAAAAAAATAAAAGAAAAAACAAAGTGGCAAACAACTGTGCAAATAGTGCGAGGACAACAAATGAAAAAGCATAGCTAACAATAGAGAAGAGGAAAAAGAACACAACCAAAACAAACAAAATTTAAATGAAAAGCCAAACGAAAAAACAATGAGGCCGTTTGTAGCTGCTGCCGCTGCCGCTGCCGCTGCTGCTGCGATGATATTCCAGAATCAGTGAATGGAACGTCACGGCACAAGAACACCACACCAGCACCACTAGCACCACCAGCACCAGCAGCAGCAGCAACAACAATAGCAACAGGCATAGTAAAGGAGAGCAAAGAGAGTTCAACGCACAGCGAAAGACAAAAACGAAAGAATTAAAGTTCTGCAACAAAGTTGGGCAGGATGTTGCAGAGGACAACAGCAGCAGCAGCAGCATCAGCAGTCGCCGTCGCAACATGCTGAGATCGTTTTATGCTATTATTTTGTTCTATTTCCTATTTTGCTACTCACCTCATCGGCTTTTTGCTGCATTTTGTGTATTTTTTTTTATTCGGTTTTCGCTGCAAAAGTCGTATTTTATGACAATTAGAAAACACTAAACAAAAGAGAAAAAAATAGGCAAAATTAAACACTTTCACTACCAATAAAAGCAGAAGAATAATAATAATAATGCAATTATGACAATTGTTATTTTTAAGCCGTTGCAGTTGTTGATTTGTTTTTTCTTTTTTTGTTCAATGCGCGCGCGCAACACAAGACGCCACAAGTGACAAGAAAACAACAAAAAAAAAAGTCTGAAAAATCAAGCACAACAAAAGTGACGAACCGCAAAGTAACGAAAAATGTGTTAACAAACAAATTGAAGTGCGTGGTTAGAGGTGAAAAACGCGTTGGGCACGACCAGCACGCAGCGCTACAAAATAACAACTGACGGCACCGAAAGCAACTGACGATAAACACTGCAGGCAAGCGCAGTGGAAAAGCTCAAACTCACACGCTCACGCACATACACTTGCGCGCGCTCACACATGCACACCGTTTTTGAGTTGAATAGCGGAGAACGCGCGCGCTCCTATTTTGAATCTAGCTGGCAACGCCATAGACTGCCGCAGTTTTGGTATTATTTGGTACATAACAAGCGATGCAATATGTATTTGTATTATATTAAATTAAATTAAGTGAATGCTAAAATACAGTAGCCGCTAATGTATTTAAGTTAAATTTAACATATTTCATTATGTGCGCAGCATTTCAGCCTAAGGAAATGCCAATTATATACAATAAATCTAGTATTATTTGAACTGTACAATTAACAGTTTTGCTGTAATAGCTGCTAAAATAAAGGTTGCGATTGACTTTAAAAATACAATTGATGACAACCAAAATCATTTTTAGATTATTAATGGATAAATTTGATACCATAACTCTAAAAAACATTAAGCGAAAAATATTTAAATTTAGGCGTGCGCGCGCAGCGTTGCCATCTATGAAAATACCAAATACACGCCAAATTTCTCAGTATTTAATGAAAAGCACTATCGATAAATGTGACATTGCTATCGTTGTCATAACGACTAAAATGAAAATCGTCAGTTGCAAACAATAATGAAAAGCAATAACAAGTCGAGTTCTCTAAACTAACAAAATGTATAAAAATAGTGCACCGAAACGCACAGGCATTTATCGTGTCAAGGGCGACATCAACGATTTCCAGCTGGAGCTGAAGTTACGGCACGTGAGCGAATGGCTGCCCGTGCCAAAATTTGAATATACTGGCGCGAAAATTGAGTACGCTGACCACTATCCAGAGACTGCGAGCAGCAGCGGCTGGTCGGACTGTTTCATCTTTGTGCCGTACGAAGATCAGTACGGCAATAACTATTACACCTACTACAACTACTATAATCCGGGCAGCGATTATCCAAGCAGCAGCATTCGCACCACCAGCCGCAGCAGTCGTCCCACCAGTCGTACAAGCCGCAGCAACAGCAGCCTACACAGCCTACGTAGCCTGCGCAGCTACCCCAGCACTTCCCTCAGCAGCTACCCTAGCAGCTACCCCAGCAGCTACCCCAGCAGCTTGTTCAGCAACAGTCAGTCGGACTTCATCACTTACCAGCAGCAGGAGCTGTCGTCCGACGACACAGAATTTCAAATTCAGAATCCGGAACTGTGCAGTGGGGCAACGGCCAATGTTTGCATTAGCTGGCAGCAAAAGTGCTTCAGTCGCGAGGAGGTGGAGCGCTATAGCGACCCGAAGAGCTGCCAGACCTCGTTGCAGCGTCGCTATCAGCGCTGGACGCGCGGGATTGTGGAGCTGCAGCAGCGCCATCAGGAGCGGCTGCAGTACGTGGAGTACAGACAGCGCGTGCGACGTCGCCGTCATAACAAATCCTCGAGATCGTCCAGGTCAAAGTCATCGCCGCTCTCCGATCTCAGTCTGGATGAGCTGCCGCCGCTGCCCGAGGACCCGGACTTTGCCACTCGCACCTGCCTCATCCACACGCTCATCGATGCGGATCTGCGCGAGCTCGCGCCCGGCGACCCTCGGCTGCCAGACGAGGCGCACGAGCTGCTGCAGCAGGGCTGCCAGCTGATGTACGTCTATGCCCAGTTGCAGGAGGATACGTTGTTGCTCTCGCTGCGCTACGACCCGACCATGGAGCTGCTCTATGTGTATCCCGACTTCAGTCTGAGCGTGGAGGACATGGAGTACGTGGTGCAGATTAACAACGACTGCCGGCAGCTCTATGCGTATGGCTTTGAGAACGTAACCGTGGTGAACGTGCTCGACCAGCAGCTGGAGCAGATGCAAGCGTATATCGGGCCTGTAGGCCCGCTGCAGCTGAGCCTCGACCCGGGATTACTGGACCTGCCGCTCGTCTTGGACTCGCTGCCCGGCTCTGAGACCAGCGCCGAGCAGCTGGTCAACTACTATCAGCAGCAGCGCTGCAGTGGATCGGTTCAGCGGCGCCTGCTGCAGTTCCAGCAGCCACCCAAGCGCATGCGGCGCGTCGTCTTCCTGCTGCAGCTGCACGAGGCGCAGGACTTCGAGTACCCCAACATCCATGTGCGCTACTATGTCAATCCGCCGGCGCACACAATACTGGAGCCAGGAAATCCGCGCGATCCATTCCCGCTGCGCGGCGCCACATCCACCTGTATGGGGGGCGGAGCTGACCGCGTGGCTCTGTTCTCGCACTGCTGGCAGCTCACGCTGCTCTGCGAGGAGTCGTATCAGCCGGACCAGCTGCTGCACATCTACTTCGAGGTGATCAGCATCGACAGGTGGCAGCGTGAGCGCTGCGAGGGCTACGCCCACTTCGCGTGCTCGCTGCTGGCGCCGCTGCCCGCAGGCGTAGTGACCGGGCTGCGGCTGCAGTGCATCCGGCCCATGGGCACCTGGCTGGATGCCCTCAATCGCTACTTCATCGGCGGCCGCTCGCTGTTCGACTTCGTCGGCTACTTCAAGAGCCGATCCTGCGGGAATGCGCTGCACAGCCGCATGGAGCTGGAGCGAGAGCACGTGATGCGCAGCACGGGAACCCTGATCTTCAGCATGCAGAAGGTGCAGCAGCGCCACCAGCCCTACGGCTACCACCTGATCCGGGAGCACAGCGACGACGACGACGATGACRGCCAGTTTAGCCACGAGCCCAAGGCGACCATCTCGACCACGCTGCAGGAGGTGATGGCTGCCTACGTCGAGGCCAGGGACCGCATCGCGGCGCTCTTAGGCAAGTCAAGCGAGGAGAGCTAGAAAGCAATCTTGCATGAATCTCTCATATAGGATCAATCTAGTCCAAAATCTCCATATGAAACCTAACTCAATTGTAAATAGAATTCCCATTCTATAAGTCGTATGTATAGCATAGTTTAAGTCGTATGTCTGTATACAGAGAGAGGTACATCTTAGACTATATAGCCTTAAAGTATACCCTATAGTCTACGCAGATCTCATCCATAATATATTTAGATTCGATTCGTACAGAAATAAGATCTAAGATATAATATAATATACGTTTTCTATATAGATGTATATATAGAGTAGGCTAATTCAACAACTACGAAAGCGAGAGGAGTACTCCCTCATTTACAAAGCCAATTGAACGTATGAGAGACAACCTCGATGTAAAATCCGTGTACTGAATAAAGCAGTTTGATTCTAAAATTGATTAAAATTATGATGTAAAAAATAAGGTTTATAATACAGTAGAATCTGATTCTAATGACAGTCAAGGGACCGTCGTTATACCCGGAAGGCACTATAACCGTATAAGTTTGCTCATAAAAGTCTGTCCGGAGACCAGAGTTTTCGTCATTATAACTGTACAGACGCTATAAGCGTAATCGTTATAACCGGATTCTACTGTATATTGAATTCATATGAACGTGAATAGATCGAAAAGCATAAAACATATATAATTTTAAGCTCCTAAATACTTGATTTAGGTTTGTAAACAAGTTTATTTTCTCCATGGAACTGAGCAACAACCGAAAATGATAATAAAACGCAAGTCTGCTTGTAGGCGACTGCCTAAAAATCTAACATTCATTGCATACTTACCACACACTTTTCAAGCAGCTTGTAAATTACTGACTGATTTCAAAAATGTTAGTACATATATGAATAACAGCGTAGAAATCTTTATATATTTATTTACCTAATGTTAAGTAACTTTTACAAGCAGCTTGTAAACCAAAATAACTCAACGTAAGCTCTTTCTAATTTCTTCAAGCTTTCATCTAAGAGTAAATTACAACTTGATGACATTCATTGCATACTGACAAAGCGACTCGACGAGCTGCTTATAAAGTTTTGAGAAATCGAATATAGGTCTTTCTGAACAACATCTCATCCATATTTTCTAGAGCCTAGAATACACTTCAGCTTGGTCTAGAAATAGAGCTACAAGGGATATGGAAATGTAATGCAGCCAGCTACCAGGAACATTTCAAGCAAATTGTAAAGCTAGAGTAGGCAACTGATCAGAATTAGATTCGGTTGTCATTTTAAGTCCATCCAATTGGATTCTTCTGCACCCTGGCTCCATTCACCCCATTTTCAAGAATAAATCGTCGCATCGATAGTTTTAGTTTAGCCATTTTATTTACTACTAATATCACTCAGTGTATATACATATATATATATTCATATATAGATTCATTGTCATGTTCACATCGCATCGTCTAATATTTTCTTTTGATTACGGGGGATTGGTTTGTGTGGCGGGGGAAGGCAGGATCAGGGGAATTGGGATTGCAAAGGATATATTGTATACATATAACACTAAAAGATGATACAAAAAAAATAGATATACATACATATTTAACGTATATATATATGTATATATAGCGTATATATAGATCTATATATAATTTTGCTATTTGTAAATTGCTGATTGCGGGGAATTCTGCGCTTAAACTAAATACTTGGGCTTAGGGTCGAGGGAGGGGATATGTGGGTATTTCAACGGAAGGACTTCCGTTCCTGACTGGGATCAGCCTCCTGCTTATGCCGTGGGCAGGTAGAGACGCGACGGCTCTGCGGGCGGCAGGTACTCGTAGCCAATGCCATTGGCGGGGCCGAAGGGATTGCCGAGGTTGCCGTAGTCAGGTGAGTTGCCGTAGACATTGTCGTTGCGGTTGCCGGGTGCCCTGTAGCTGTAGTCGTCGCCGCTCTGGCCGCTGCCGCGCAGGGGTCCCTGCTCGTTGTTCAGATTCTGTTGCAGGAACTGGAAGCGAATCTTGTTGCTGTTCAGGTCGGATCCTGGCTTCGGGGCAGCTGGAGCCAAGGGCTGTGGACTGCATAGGGTTGATGGCATTGTAGATCTGAGCAGCTCTTTCGATCAAGTCTCTCGCTCTACTTACTCGGGAATGTCCAGATCCAGCTCGGTGATTGGGTGGTAGCCGAACTCATCGGCCGTATAACGGGTCTTGTAGCGCTTGCCGTCGGCACCGGTGAACGAATACGAGCCGCTTACCACGAAGGTCTTGTCGTCCTTCAGTTTGCCCACGCTGCTGACCTCAATGCCGTTCTGGGTCTTCAGTCTGCAAGAAATAATCGATTAGTTATCGATAGAGTGTCAAAATCGAGCAATTGAAAAGGTATTTGAAATGATTGATTATGAAATCAAACTAGAAATCTTTTAACGACTATATATTGCTATTCGAATTATATATATATTTGTAATCGTTATCGAAGCGGATTTATACTAAACTTAAATTCATTGTTGGATTTCAGACTGGCTACAAAAAACTCTTATAGCACTCCATTCAAATGGAATTCTCTTACTATTTACTGGAGTACCTTTGGAATACCATATGGAACTACCCTAACGTCAATTTTATAGCAATTTTGTATTAAACTTCGCATCATACGGTTTCCCAATATATCAGCTATTGATTGTTATCGATTGTGGGAATAACCCCAATAAAAGCGCAATAATAATAAATTTATGTATCGAGTGTGTTAAATATAAATAACATGAAATGTAGCTAATTTAAAGCTAACTTAGCTTGTTTTTCACTGACAATCGATCGTTATCGATCGTTGCCGATCTAAATGTATCGACTTACTCGAGTTTGAATTTTTTGCCCGCATTGAAGTTCTGCAGCTTCTCGGTTTTGGCCTTCATCACGTCGCCGATGAAGTGTACGGCGGGCTTATCGTCATCGATGTCCTCGGGCAGGGTGTAGATATCGCCCGGATTATACTTGAACAGATCCAGATTGCGATCTGTCAGGTGCTTCACGTCGGCTACGGCCAACGCCACAAAGCACAAAACCAGCTGCTAGCCAAAATGAGAGAGAGAGAGAGAGAGAGAGAGAGAGAGAGAGAGAGGGAGTGGGAGAGAGGATGAGGAGGAGGGGGAATGGTTAGTTTATACGATTAGTTGATTGCTTGATTTGTGTATTTTACGTTTTGTGCGTTCTGTCACTTAAGAGCGAAGCAGATAAAACACAAATAAAAATAGATATAAAATGGAATATGTATAAAAAATCTGTGCCGTGTTTTTGTTTCTTCTTAATATTATTTTAACGAGCGCTGCATAAATCACAGGCAAAGTGGCTCGTGGTCTGTGACAAGTGTCACAAAACTTGTTTTATGCATTTCAAATTTTAATTCACTAAAGATGAGCGAAAAAACGATCAACAAGCGTTTAAATTCGCAGCAATTAATCAAATTGCTAGCGTGCGCGCGCGTTTTGCTGGCGTCTTTAACCGCTTGCCTTGGCATGCCGTCACTGTGTCTCGCGCGTTGTGCTGTTGTTGCTGTAGCTGTAATTCTCGTTATTGTTGTTGCTGTTGGTTTTGTTTTAAGTGCGTTTTGATTTATTTGTCTTGAGCTTAAATCGTTTCCAATATTTGCGGCGCATTGCTTTGTCTCTGCTTCGCTCGCGACACGATTTACTGTTTTCTATTCAGACGAATTGAGCTTGCGCGTGTGTGAATAAGCAGGCAAAAGCCAGGACGCTCTTCGCTTTCGTGTGTGTGTGTGTGTGTGTGTGTGTGTGTGAGGGCGAAGATAACCGCTTCGTTGCTCTCCACTTGCACTTGCTTGTGAGTGTGCAGGCAAGCGCCTAGAATCCGCGATGGACATACGTGTGTCTGTATAAGTGTGTGAGAGAGCGAAAGCAAGCGCTTGCAATTAGAAATGAACGCTCATATTGCTTGCGCGTGTCCCACACACGAAACACTTTGAATGAAATCAATTAGCAAAGTGAACGCATACTAAGCAAATAACAAAGCAACAAATAAGGCCAAAGTTTAGATCGCAGATTGGAGAGCTAGTACAACTGGATTTTTTTAGGAAGCGCTATCAACTGGCTGAACATGTCAATTAGCATGCCGGCCRAAATAAAAGTGGAAAGAACATTTGAAAAAAAAAAAAAACTGAACAAAAAAATTAAACTTTGCGATTTTTTTTAAGGATCATACAACTAAAGCGCGGTTGCTTTATTATTGATTTTTTGTTATCTAAAAAATGTAGCTATTTTAAAAGATTTTGGCTGGTTTTGGGCCCAATTTTTAGAGTTTTATATTAAGTTTTTTTTTTCTTTAGAAATTTCTTAGCGAAAAAAAAAAATAGTTCAAAACGTATTGCAGCACTTTAATGTTTTTTATTCCTTTGTAAACACATTAAAAAAAATTTTCACCAGAGTTTTTATTTGTATTTAATTTGGTAGTTTTTTTCATTTGTCACTTTAAACACTTATGAAAATATATAAGTTTAGCTAAATTTTTAACTTGTTTATAATATTTTTTTAAACTTACAAAACTCTTCATTATTTATTTTGTGTGTGTGTTTTTGTTTTTTGTTTTGAGGGTATCCCAAGTCGAGCTGCAAATTAAAGACTGTGAGACTCGCAGCGAGAGGTGCGTTGCGCACAGGTTCTAGCAAATAAATACAAACGCTTCCACTTCTTGTTTCCTTATATATGGTCTTTTGCTAGAGCCACAGCTAAGCGCCGTCGGCGTCGCAGCTCGCAAAAAGCAAAATGAATAAGAAGACGAAAAAAAGATGAAAAAAAAGAAGACCCAACCGAACCGGACAACGAACCGCAGCGCCCAATCCGATGCGGACATGGCGAGAACGTCGTCAGTTGTCAACGCGATGCGTGCGGCAATACCCTGTAAATGTAACAAATATGGTATCATACATTCATATGTATTATATAATACTCTAACACATTTTATATATCATTAAATCATGAAAAAAAAAAACTTCAAAAAACCTCTTCAATTTGTGATTTTTGGCTAAACAGCCTATAAGAACTTAGCTTCTAGTAAAGCTAGGGCGCTGAAAATGTATAGGTGGCAGCCTCAGATCATATACAGCATATTTCTATTCGGGTTTTGCAATCGGCTCACAATTACTATCCATATATGCTAAGAATTGTCTAACTACCTATAGAAACTCAGTAACTAGCGGTGCTAAATTAAGCAGATTTAGTATACGAGCTATTCTACGATATACAGAGCTGAAATAAATTAAGTTTTCCTAGATTTGTTGTATTTTAGTTGAATGTTATATGAAAGGAAACTGCTATCCATAGTAACTCAGCTTTCCTTTGATATCTGCTCAAATACTGACTATAAATGTTAGAGACTAAGTAGATATTAAAATAAAATTATAGATTAGTGGATATAGAAGTTATGTAACTATATATATAAGTACACAGAGGATGATAAGTACATACATTTATGAATATTTTGCTCAGTTGTATATATCTTTTACAGGGTATCTGCGCAGTCCATCAGTCGCTTTTGCCACACGCACTATCTGGTTGTTTTGAATTTGCCATTGGGTTGCTAGGTTGTTGGGTTGTTGGGGCAGCCGCAGTCTAACTCCAAAAGAGATTCGCTGCGATAGATGTAACTGTATTTGGTCAGACTTTGACGCATTGAAGGGCCATAAAAAATCGAGTTTTGTAACATATATACATATAGATGAGCGTTACTGTTTGCATGTGTATGTGTGTGTGTGTGTGCGAGTGTGCGAGTGTATTTGGATGACAACAAATTAGAAAACCGCCATCAGCGAATTAGCATACGCGTTTAAGTTTAATGATTTTTATTGAATATCTACATATATACAAATATAGATATACATACCTACGTATATATGTATATATATTTGTATATCTATGCCTAGCATTCAGTTTTTTTTTATAAAGCGTACAATATTAATGTTTTTTTTTTGTTTTTGTTTCTTTCAGTTTTTATTGGAAATCATGCGCTAATATATGCGCATCATTCGTTCGATTTGGGAGTCCATTTGGAAGACCAGTTTAGGCGTTGTTGAAGAATGGACTCTGCACTGACTGAAGTCCTACACGCGACACCTCGGGCCCATCCATTCCCACCCTAATATGCCCCACAAAGGGAACGCCAACGCCAACGTCAACGCCTACCTTGACAAATGGGGCAGTGTGTGGTACTCCCTTCTCCTGCTTCCCTTCTCTCTCATTGATCTTCGCCTTTCCTCAGCTCAGTTTGTTGTTTTATGCTAATGCATCCTCGCCTTTGCTTAACCTTCGCTCAATTAGTCGTTCCGTTTTCTCGGCCTCTTGTCACATTTATCACATTTATCAACTTGCGCCTCATTTCCGATGCAGATCTCTGCTGAACTGTTGGTTCCATTCTCCTACTTCTTCTTCTTCGAATTCTTCTTCTACTTCTTCTTCTTTTGGCGTGTTTTTCTACTTTTAATCAAGTCTAGCATAATTTTTACTATTATGAAACCCATAAACACATACATATTTAATATTCGTCGTTTCTTTTCCTTGATTTGTCACATATCACTGAGCAGAGGGCGCTGTTGCCGGCTTTCACAGTGCCCTGCCATTCCACTGGGGGTCAGAGTGCGCTGTTGTCTGTTTTCAGAGGAATGCATTGGCATTTCTCAAGTAATGTTTCGAGTTTCGAGGCAAGGCGTTGTTACCTATCTTTACAGATTATATAGATTTATCAATGCGCTGTTGCCAGATTTCTCAAGAAGTGATTTAAGCCCAAGATTAGCTCAAATTTTCTGCAAACTTTACCAAAAGAGTACAAATTTCAAAAGAAAATCCAAGTACTGGTTGCCAAACTGCAATACAGAAGAAGCTAAAGCCCATGCACTGTTGCCAGACTTCACAAAGAGACATTTTCATATATCAGCTATGACAATTTTGCCAAAATAAGTAAAAATCCCAAAGGGCATCTTAACAGTCGTTGCCAGACTACAATAGAGAAGGACTCAAAGTCTATGCAACGTTGCCAAATTTCACTTACAGTTTATTCTATGCTTAACTTTAGGCAGTTTTGTAGAATATATCAAATTCTTTTCAAAAACCCAAACAGAATTTGCCCCTCGATCCTGCGATCCTCACTAAAGATGTGCCCCAGAATCCATGCAATGTTGCCAAATTTCAGAGCCAGACAAATTATCAAATCCGTACTTAGAACAAATCGAAATGGATGCGTCGCAATCTGATTAAGCGAATCGTAAATGTTATTGCTCAAAATACGAGCTGAATGAATGCCATTTGGTATTCAAATTTGTATAAAGATCTATAATCGGAATCGAGCTTTGATCGTTGGTCAAAATCGTGTTTTTTTTCGTAGTTTCATTCAGAATTAATGAAAACGTAAAGCGTTTTCAGCAGCTTATCAGACCGATTTGAGCCGAGTGCTCAGACACTGTCGTTCTTCACGCTCTTCAAATGATGGCTTTTGCCTTGGTTTCATTTTTCTACCACTACCTCGTCTACCTCTTTTTCTTCATTTAGACATAAAAAAAAAAACCTTAAAGATTAAACAAATTCATTCGACACGCCCCACTGACAGTTGCGGACTGATGTCTTCACTAAATATCTCAATCGAACTGTCCCCCCTCCCTCTCTACCGCTGCGTATATCCATTATCCATTAGCCATTATCTGTCATATCTCTAAGCTCTATGGAAACGTGTTATTGGGAAACTCGAAAGAAAAAGCAAAACCAAAAAGAAACATCAACATCAACAAATTGCTACGGTCGGAACCATTCTTCAGCTCAGCCCCAACAATCTGTTCGTCTTCATCAAACAGATCTTTCGAATTGTTTGCCGCTGCCTGGGGCTAATTTATGGCCGAGCTCAAGGACTGTCTCTGGCCCACCTGTCTCAGCTGTAATGCCTCTGTTCGTCGGTCGTCTATCGCAACAACGTGTTTCCCACGAGCCAGCGAAGTTACATCGCAGAGTCGCTCAATTACGATGGCGACTGGAAGTCTCGCGACATTTCCGATCAGTCTGGAAGTCTTTCAACTTCTGGCTGATTATATCTAGCTTACATGCAGACTATCTCTGCATCTATCTCTCTCCTTCTTTCTTTCTATGTGTCTAGTAGTCTTTCACTAATGCTCTCCCTACCTCTCACCTCGGATTTTCCTATTCTACATGTCTTTCTACTGATCACTCGCTTTGCTATATTTCTGTTTATATCTCTAAGTTTCTAAGCTGTCTCTCTCTCTCTCTCTCTCTCTCTCTCTCTCTCTCTCTCTCTCTCTGCATCTCTTATTCTCTCTGTCAACTTCTATTATATATTCTTTATTTTTGCTTTCCCTTTTCCCCGCTCTTCTCCTCTACTGCCTCTATCTTTCCCTATTTTTATGGAACTTCCTCTGTGCCTTTCTCTTCTCTTCTCTTTTAGTTTCCTACTGTTGCCTACTCTTTGTTCGTCTCTCTGTCTTTGCTTCAGTTTCTCTTTCTCTCTCTCTCTTTCATCTATATTTTCTTTTTCTCTTTTTAATTATTTTTCTCTTTCTCATCTTATTCTCAGTATTTCTATCACTCTATTGTATATCTACCTATCCCTGTTGTTTCTACTATTCTCCTAAATACTTATGTTTGTTCTCTCTATCCTTCTCTCCCGCTCTCTCTCTCTCTCTCTATATCCCTCTCCCTTTCTTATTATCTCTCTCTCGCTCTCTCATTCTCTTTCTTCCAGTTCCATCTCTTTCTCTGCTTCTTTGCTTCTTTTATTCTATTTTTTCTCTCTCTCTCTCTCCCTCTCTCACATTCCCCTTTCAAAATGTGTGTTTCTTCATCGTCTTCTTCTTATTTACCAATTCTCCTCATGTTAGTCATCTTCTACAAATTTAGCATATGATTCGATCGATGCCCACAACGTCGTCGACGCCTTGAACTTTACATAATTTTACATAGATCTCCAATCGAATCAAGAAGCTTAGCTCAAGTCAAATCAACTTCTTGGAAATCTCGTTTCGCAACGTTCCCTGTCGTTTCGTTTCATCGCGTCCCGTTTCGTTTCGTTGTGTTTCTTTTGTATAATTGTTAATTTATCGATCCGCGCGTTTTAATTGCCTTCTTTATTATCTATCGACAGACGCACACGAAAAAAAATAAAAATAAAAAGATGAAAACAATAACAAAACTTCAGATTCGGCGCATATCAAAGGCGATGCGTAACAAGTCGAGCTGAGCTGAATCGAGTTGTTATTGTTGTTGTTGTTRTTGTTGCATTTGCTGTTGTTGTTTTGTTGTCTTCGTGTCGCTTTGAAGATCTGTTAATTTGCTAAAGTAATTAATAGGGAAATAAGAAACACTTTCTTTTTGCCCCGAAATGAATGCAAATCGATGCGAAAACAGATCAATAATTGATATACATATGTTATCGGTAATGTATCGATATTTGCATATGAGGCGATTTCATTTCGAGCTCTATCTGATATGATAATCTCAGCTCTTAGTTTTTGGCGTCACATTTGGGAATCTTCGAAGAGACTTCATTTCGTGGGATGGAGAAACCGTGCAATTTTGAATATCGAATAAAATATCAATTTCGAAGAACTTGTGAGGGATTGAGTTTAATGACTTAAGTGGAGAACTCATACAGATGGAAAAAGGGGATAAATTTAGACA